AAAAGAAAGTCGACAGCCCAAGGATGGTGACAATCAATGATACATAGTTCAATAAACGAAACTAGAAAGCCCAACGGTGGTCACAATCAATGCCACATAGTTCAAAAAAATGAACTTGGCTGCCCAAACATCAATGATACAGAGTTCAAAAAAAGAAAGTCGACAGCCCAAGGATGGTGACAATCAATGATACAAAGTTCAAGAAAAGAAACATCAAAATAAGTAAGCAAAAAACGGGACACATACTCATACGTGATCTTTCGTCCAATGTGTTGGAGGGGTTGAGTGATTGGGTAGGGCGGTTATACCAACTTTTACTATGTTTACATTCAATTATTTATCAATTGGACATCAATGGTAGCTTTGTTTTGATCGATTTGTTACCATTTGGTGTGAGTTATATTGTAAACCAATATGTTATTTGACTTTGAAATCGCCCACTCTTCTAGTGGAAAAAAAAGGCTAGTGGAACTGACTCTTGGGTGATTCAATTATAATGATAACGCCCTGCGTTACCCCAACATTAAATCGATATAACCGGAAGTGATTTAACGGACTCATCCGTAACTGATTCTGTTTATTTGTTCTGCTTTTCTTTTATAGGCACAACCATTTATGTACAAGGGTAATGATTTTGGTCCAGCTTTCGACTGTAGTACACCAGCAGCATTCAGAGACGAAACCGCCCCTATTGCTGTTGGATCAACTCTGGCCGTTGCCGTGCTAGCAACCATAACGGGTTACGCAATATACAGGCATTTTAAAATAAAAAAGGTCCAGTACAATACGATGGAATAAACAATTTGCGAAAGTCTATTATTGCAAGAGGTACGTGATAAACTTGTTAAGGTTGGGAACCGAGATAAAAATATATCCTTAGTTTTCCCCTTTGTACCAATTTTTGTTACCATAATTTTTTTTGCATACATTACGAAATTACTGATTTTGATTACATCCTTATAAAGTTCCCAACAATCAAGAGTTTAAGATAAACGAAAAGAAAGCCATTACAATCTTTGTTTTTTGTTGGTGTTGTTTCACATGGGCACGCATGAAACGCGCGCATTCGAGCGAAGCGTCAAGGGTCGTGCAGGGCCAGTTCACATGTACGCGTTTCATCGGCGCTGATTTTAAAGCGCGAGCCATCAGCACGGCTCATCGGCGATGCGTTTGTAACGAGAGCGAGCTGGCCATTGGTTTTATGAGTGTATTCACATGATGCGTTCTATCGGTCAGCAAAAGAATCTGCTGCTTTGCCATTTTTTTAGTTTGTCTTTAGTTATTTCATGTTCATTATTGCTGTATTGACACTGATTGTGAATTCACCAAACAAAATCGTTGAAACGGTATACGAAGAAAATTTCTGACTGTGAAAGGAGAAAGTCGCAGTGATCTTAGCAACGCAGCGAGATTCTGTTCCGTTTCTCGGCCAACCAAAACACGCCCTTGTGAAAACTCATGCAGACCGACAAGCGTTCATACGCGCGGCATCAGCTCCGTGTGAAACGTCACTTACCTACGAATTTATTGGTAGGTACTCCAAGAAGTCATGTAAAATAAGAAAAACGCTAAATAGAACTGGACCCAAAAAATTATACTAAGGTGCTATATCCTTATATACTAATAGGACTCAGTCGATAGTTTAAATTAGTAGAATTTGACTAATGATGATCAACTAGTGGCATGAGACGTAGATACTACAACTGGACGATTATTAAATTTAACAATCGATTGTTGATCATAGGAAAATAATCGGTTATTCCGATTAATAGGTTATTTTTAAAAACTGAAAATATTAATCGATTACTTTTTATAACTAAAAATAATGGATTATCAAACCGATTATCTTCTCTACGAGCTAACTGAATTGTCGAGGCAGATTAGATCAGCGGGTGAGAAAATGTAGTGGGCGATAATAGTAGGACTGGGCGATTGTTACATTTAACAGTCGTTTATCTCGATTAATCGATTAATTATTAATTTAACATATACTGCCCCTTCCGAGCTCCAGTGCGTTCAATTTTTGCCTCTTTAGGAATCAGGACTGTATTTAGTATCTGTCCTGGGTGCCACCAACCCCACTACAGTGGTGCCAACCTTACAAATTTATGACCCGATCTATGTCTAACTAATTTTTCTTAGTTAATCGATTTTTTCGAAATCCCAATTACTTTCACATAAAATCCTGATAAATAGGTTTTCAAGGAAGCAATCCATTTATTTTAATGTTACAGTGGACCAAGTTAAGAATGAAAATACCTATTCGATATTAATGACACTGCGTTCAGCATGGTTTGTTATCATAAACTACTAATTAATGACTAATCGGCATTCATAAAATCTCTCAAGTATCAGTTCCATTTAGCGTTATATTCTTACTATAATAAAAATTGGGTAAATCTGATGGATTTTTATTGCTTTAATTAACACGCTGACGGTTAATTGTTTTTTAAAAGCAATTATTAGTTTCATATACTACGCGACTCAATACTAATATAAGTTCGAAAATTTTAAGCTTACAAATTAATAATAATAAATAATTAGTGTATCACAAATTTCTTCTCTAGGTAATGATAAGGTAAATATCTAGATGATGGCCCCACTGTACCATAAAAAGTTCGTGGCGGTCTCACCCCCATAAAAAGTTATGAGGGTTAGATGGGGTGGGGGTAGGGGTATCGAAGGAAGGTAGGGAGGATCGAAAGAGGGTGGTCACCTGAGTAAAATCCCATAAAAAAATTGCGACGGTCTCATTCCCATAAAAAGTTATGGTGCTTGAAAGTTGATTATTTTGGCAATTTTCATACACTATAATTCAAATAAAACTCAATAAAAAATAAATTTTCAAGCGGGTGGAGGTGGGGGATCGAAAGAGGGTGGTCACGAACAAAACCCGATAACCTAACCTAACCTAACCTATTGATAAAGCTATTTAAATAATGTTTCATATAACTTTTTCAATATTTTTATGTATTTTTCATTAGTTTTACCTTTGAATATTGTTTAAGAATGACTATATAAATATTTACATGCCTAGAAATGTATAAAAATTGGCATATTTATTAACTTTGAACCCCCATAACTTTTTATGGGGGTGAGACCGCCACGAATTTTTTATGGTACAGTGGTGGGGGAGACCGCCTCTTTCCATCCCCCCCAAGGGGGTGAGGGCCATCGTCTAGACCTTTACCAAAGATAATAAGATTTCGTCATATATTTTTTATATTAATGAAAATGTCCTTGCCAAGTTGCAAAAAGAAATAAAAAAAAATGTTTGTAACAGGCTAAAGAGGTATCCAAATTGAAATGGCTTTCCTTTCTAAATTAATTTTTGGTCAGAGGAAATCTACTTTTGGACAGATCTATATGATTATTATTATTATTGCGCATACGGTTTCAAAAGTTATAGCAATTACGTAAATATACATAGAGTATTTATGTAGATATAGTTAATAAAATACAAAGAGAGGACCTTAATCATTTATACATAATAATATAATAAAAAGTTATGAATTTATATCAAACAGTTTGTCAATTTTTAGCAATTCTTATATATTAAACGAATATAAATTGTATTACTATTAGGTAATGTATAAATGTAAAATATTTTGCAATTTTAACTTAACTGTTAATGTATTGTACTCCGGGGTTTTGGAATTTTATTTAGAATACCCTTAGTAATAGCGAACAAAGACCTACACTTAAATAAAGAAAATAGTTGAATAATATGCTCGATATATAAAAAGGACAGACGACGCATATTTTAAATATTTTACTTATTAATTTTTGGTTTTGGCACATTCACTTTTGTGGGTCTAGTTTAGCCACTTTTTAACCTCTCTCCCCTCTCCCATATGATCTACTATGATTTTATCCTTGGGGAGGGGTCCAATAGTTTATTTATAACTCAATTAAAGAAACAAATCAAGATGTTACCGAAAACGCAATTGAGAAACAAGGAGTAAATACTTATTAGAATTTAATAGAAAAAGCAATCAAAATTGTCTGTAATAACAATTTCAAAATTAAAAGAAAAAATGTTTTTGCATATAGGTAATACCTACACGTATAGATCTAAGATGCAGAGGCGTAGCTAAACCGAACGTGGACGTTGGCGAAATACGTTTTGTGAAGCCCTTTTTACATATAAGTCCCTAGCTATATAGGTTAGGAAATGTACTAATAAATTGAACTCTGCAAAACGTTACTATTGGGCTCGTAAACAGAACTAAACGAGTCTGGGAATTCCATATACCTTTTTAAGAAATTTTTGGCTAGGACAGGGGCCTTTTGGCTGAGGAATACCATAAGCGTTCCTGTTGTGGCTAGACGACTCTGGATTAGGGTTGTAGCGGATGCGAACTTTAGTGAGATTAAGCTTGCGGATACAGATCAGAATATGCAGATCATTGAAATTCTATGTCTATTTGCGGATACGGATGGAGATGAAAAATTGGATGCGGATACGAATATTTCGTTTTTTATTTAGAATTGTTAGTGTTATTTAATTAATCGCTTTATTTTCATATATTTTGGGAACTTAGCCCGTTTTCAAAAATTTGAGACATTCTAAATTGAATATTTTTGTTTATTCACAAGATCGCTGTTATTGCCAGAAAACGAACGACATACGTTGGCTTTCTCAGCGTCACCAGAGTGAAAGGTGTATTGTTACTTTACGTTTGTTATTTCTAAGATATTCCTGTAGTAGCATTGTAGCACAACAAACATCCGCAGTTGCGGATGCGGATGCGCTATCCGTTACAATCTTACTCTGGATAAATGCTATTGACTGGTACAGTTTTTTTTTAGAAAGGTGATCTTTTAACGGCGTCACCGACGTTTAGCTACACCTGTGTTAAGATAATACCATTTTCAGTCAATTTAAATATACGCAATGTTAAAAAATTATTCTAATGAAAGTCGCTCAAATAAATAAAATAATAATTTCCCTCATATTTAGAAAATTTCATTAAACGAGACGTTTGTGAATCGTTTGCATCTTATAGATAATATGTATAATAAATATGTAGGTATATACCCATNACAATCTTTTTCGAATTTCTATTGTATATGAAATAATTAATAATGGCCTGTAAGGAAGTTGAAGGTATTAAGGTTAGAGTTAATATAAAAATTGAAGACAGGAACTCAGGACAGAAAACGTGGTAGAGACAAAAAGCAAAGAGTAGCTCAGAATTGAGTTGTTGTTAGCAAAAAGAAATCACTTCTGTCCCCGAATGGTTTGATTTGAAAAAGATTGTCAAAACTGTTAACGGAAATCATAACGCGAAAAAGTCCGTCCTAATTCAATATCATAACTGTAGAAATCCAGCTTCTAGAACAATGAAGATTTCAATTCTTTGATGATGCATGAAGTATTTTAATTTTAATGAAAGCAGGATCTCCCTCTTCAGATTTTTTCAAATGAAACCTTATTTTTCTACAAGTTTTATTACACAATTAGTCGTGGCTTAGTTACCATCTTTTCATTAATTTTTTAGACGCCTGGTGGAGAAAGATGGTACATAAAAGAAATCGACCTAGTCGTCGACTCGGCAACGCCTAGATATCACGAAATAAAACACAAATTAGGTAATGTATACGTAGAACGTACTCATATTTTTTATATGTATGTATTGTTCCTATTACCATTATAGTCAGTACGTCAATAAATTCACATGAAATTTCCCCATTTACTTTATAAATCACAAGTCACCCATCATTCGTATTCTTTATAGTATGTAGACATCATAAAAAACTAGGCTAACAGAGTAGATGAAAATAAAGTACTGGTGTTTTGTGAGCATATTTTGCTGAAACAAGCTCTTTGTAGGAAAAAGTTTCAAATTGACACACACGACCATGTTGTTCCTCACTCCCGTCGGAAAATCATATTCCTGTGATGATATAACGGTGAATTTAGACGTGCCAATTGAGGACAAAAATCCTGCTGGGCTACGGGGAGTCCTTCTCCTTAGAAAATTCCAGGTAAATGTAGTGAATTAAAATTCCGATTTGATATAAATGCAGAAGGTGATGAATAGAACAAATGGGTGATTTCATTGTCAATTAACTCACTTCTAATCATTTCTCACATCAAATTATATCAAGTAGAGTTCTCATTGGTATACATGTACTTAATATTTAATTGAATGTAGACGATACGACATCAAAGATTGAACGCTGTGTACTTAAACTAACAGCCGAAGGATGGTGACAATCAATGATACAGAGTTCAAGAAAAAAAACTTGAGTGCCCAAGCATAGTCATAATCAATGATACAGAGTTCAAGAAAAGAAAGTCGACAGCCCAAAAATGGTGACAATCAATGATACAGAGTTCAATAAACGAAACTTGAAAGCCCAAGGGTGGTCACAATCAATGACACAGAGTTCAAAAAAATGAACTTGACTGCCCAAACATCAATAATACAGAGTTCAAGAAAAGAAAGTCAACAGCCCAAGGATGGTGACAATCAATGATACAGAGTTAAAGAAAAGAAACTTGACAGTCCAAGGTTGGTCATAGTCAGTGACACAAAGTTCAATAAACGAAACTTGATAGCCCAAGGATAGTCACAATCAATGATACAGAGTTCAAAAAAATAAACTTGACTGCCCAAGCATAGTCATAATCAATGATACAGAGTTCAAGAAAAGAAAGTCAACAGCCCAAGGATGGTGACAATCAATGATACAAAGTTCAATAAACGAAACTTGAAAGCCCAAGGGTGGTCACAATCAATGACACAGAGTTCAAAAAAATGAAATTGACTGCCCAAACATCAATAATACAGAGTTCAAGAAAAGAAAGTCAACAGCCCAAGGATGGTGACAATCAATGATACAAAGTTCAATAAACGAAACTTGAAAGCCCAAGGGTGGTCACAATCAATGACACAGAGTTCAAAAAAATGAAATTGACTGCCCAAACATCAATAATACAGAGTTCAAGAAAAGAAAGTCAACAGCCCAAGGATGGTGACAATCAATGATACAAAGTTCAATAAACGAAACTTGAAAGCCCAAGGGTGGTCACAATCAATGACACAGAGTTCAAAAAAATGAAATTGACTGCCCAAACATCAATAATACAGAGTTCAAGAAAAGAAAGTCAACAGCCCAAGGATGGTGACAATCAATGATACAAAGTTCAATAAACGAAACTTGAAAGCCCAAGGGTGGTCACAATCAATGACACAGAGTTCAAAAAAATGAAATTGACTGCCCAAACATCAATAATACAGAGTTCAAGAAAAGAAAGTCAACAGCCCAAGGATGGTGACAATCAATGATACAAAGTTCAATAAACGAAACTTGAAAGCCCAAGGGTGGTCACAATCAATGACACAGAGTTCAAAAAAATGAAATTGACTGCCCAAACATCAATAATACAGAGTTCAAGAAAAGAAAGTCAACAGCCCAAGGATGGTGACAATCAATGATACAAAGTTCAATAAACGAAACTTGAAAGCCCAAGGGTGGTCACAATCAATGACACAGAGTTCAAAAAAATGAAATTGACTGCCCAAACATCAATAATACAGAGTTCAAGAAAAGAAAGTCAACAGCCCAAGGATGGTGACAATCAATGATACAAAGTTCAATAAACGAAACTTGAAAGCCCAAGGGTGGTCACAATCAATGACACAGAGTTCAAAAAAATGAAATTGACTGCCCAAACATCAATAATACAGAGTTCAAGAAAAGAAAGTCAACAGCCCAAGGATGGTGACAATCAATGATACAAAGTTCAATAAACGAAACTTGAAAGCCCAAGGGTGGTCACAATCAATGACACAGAGTTCAAAAAAATGAAATTGACTGCCCAAACATCAATAATACAGAGTTCAAGAAAAGAAAGTCAACAGCCCAAGGATGGTGACAATCAATGATACAAAGTTCAATAAACGAAACTTGAAAGCCCAAGGGTGGTCACAATCAATGACACAGAGTTCAAAAAAATGAAATTGACTGCCCAAACATCAATAATACAGAGTTCAAGAAAAGAAAGTCAACAGCCCAAGGATGGTGACAATCAATGATACAAAGTTCAATAAACGAAACTTGAAAGCCCAAGGGTGGTCACAATCAATGACACAGAGTTCAAAAAAATGAAATTGACTGCCCAAACATCAATAATACAGAGTTCAAGAAAAGAAAGTCAACAGCCCAAGGATGGTGACAATCAATGATACAAAGTTCAATAAACGAAACTTGAAAGCCCAAGGGTGGTCACAATCAATGACACAGAGTTCAAAAAAATGAAATTGACTGCCCAAACATCAATAATACAGAGTTCAAGAAAAGAAAGTCAACAGCCCAAGGATGGTGACAATCAATGATACAAAGTTCAATAAACGAAACTTGAAAGCCCAAGGGTGGTCACAATCAATGACACAGAGTTCAAAAAAATGAAATTGACTGCCCAAACATCAATAATACAGAGTTCAAGAAAAGAAAGTCAACAGCCCAAGGATGGTGACAATCAATGATACAAAGTTCAATAAACGAAACTTGAAAGCCCAAGGGTGGTCACAATCAATGACACAGAGTTCAAAAAAATGAAATTGACTGCCCAAACATCAATAATACAGAGTTCAAGAAAAGAAAGTCAACAGCCCAAGGATGGTGACAATCAATGATACAAAGTTCAATAAACGAAACTTGAAAGCCCAAGGGTGGTCACAATCAATGACACAGAGTTCAAAAAAATGAAATTGACTGCCCAAACATCAATAATACAGAGTTCAAGAAAAGAAAGTCAACAGCCCAAGGATGGTGACAATCAATGATACAAAGTTCAATAAACGAAACTTGAAAGCCCAAGGGTGGTCACAATCAATGACACAGAGTTCAAAAAAATGAAATTGACTGCCCAAACATCAATAATACAGAGTTCAAGAAAAGAAAGTCAACAGCCCAAGGATGGTGACAATCAATGATACAAAGTTCAATAAACGAAACTTGAAAGCCCAAGGGTGGTCACAATCAATGACACAGAGTTCAAAAAAATGAAATTGACTGCCCAAACATCAATAATACAGAGTTCAAGAAAAGAAAGTCAACAGCCCAAGGATGGTGACAATCAATGATACAAAGTTCAATAAACGAAACTTGAAAGCCCAAGGGTGGTCACAATCAATGACACAGAGTTCAAAAAAATGAAATTGACTGCCCAAACATCAATAATACAGAGTTCAAGAAAAGAAAGTCAACAGCCCAAGGATGGTGACAATCAATGATACAAAGTTCAATAAACGAAACTTGAAAGCCCAAGGGTGGTCACAATCAATGACACAGAGTTCAAAAAAATGAAATTGACTGCCCAAACATCAATAATACAGAGTTCAAGAAAAGAAAGTCAACAGCCCAAGGATGGTGACAATCAATGATACAAAGTTCAATAAACGAAACTTGAAAGCCCAAGGGTGGTCACAATCAATGACACAGAGTTCAAAAAAATGAAATTGACTGCCCAAACATCAATAATACAGAGTTCAAGAAAAGAAAGTCAACAGCCCAAGGATGGTGACAATCAATGATACAAAGTTCAATAAACGAAACTTGAAAGCCCAAGGGTGGTCACAATCAATGACACAGAGTTCAAAAAAATGAAATTGACTGCCCAAACATCAATAATACAGAGTTCAAGAAAAGAAAGTCAACAGCCCAAGGATGGTGACAATCAATGATACAGAGTTAAAGAAAAGAAACTTGACAGTCCAAGGTTGGTCATAGTCAGTGACACAAAGTTCAATAAACGAAACTTGATAGCCCAAGGATAGTCACAATCAATGATACAGAGTTCAAAAAAATAAACTTGACTGCCCAAGCATAGTCATAATCAATGATACAGAGTTCAAGAAAAGAAAGTCAACAGCCCAAGGATGGTGACAATCAATGATACAAAGTTCAATAAACGAAACTTGAAAGCCCAAGGGTGGTCACAATCAATGACACAGAGTTCAAAAAAATGAAATTGACTGCCCAAACATCAATAATACAGAGTTCAAGAAAAGAAAGTCAACAGCCCAAGGATGGTGACAATCAATGATACA